ACAACGGAGAAGAAGAAAAAGAATGAAAGAAAGAAAGACAATCAAAACCATGCAAGAGTTGAAGTAGAAAGAAAAAGAAAAAACATCCGAAATGGGTTAATTGTTTTGCATTTCATTGAGTCCAGGGAATAATGCTGCAGTTGTTCGCTCGTTAAGTGCGACGCCATTAAATTAAATCCCGGACAAATGCCTCGCACACACTCGCTCGCTGACTCGATCGCTTTCTGGGAAACAGTAGCAAGAGGCGAACAAATTGACGCTTGTTAATTTTTTCAGTTTGTTTGTTGATATGCTTTTTGGAGATGACAAAACACTTTTTTTCTGAAGTAATGGGAATGTGCCGCTGCTTTTTATGGTGGATACGACTATCCAAGAGTTATGCCATGGGAATGGGGATGAATAGTCAAAGACTTAACAGTTTTCATAAGAAAACGGTAGCAAGCTGAAGGTCATTTCTTAAGCCGAAATATGCTTAAATTTCTAATTGTCATAATCTTGATTTTAATAGGTTTCAACACGGCATTAAACTAGTTCTTTTTTTACTCAATTTCAAAGTCGAGAAATTTTCCAATAGAAGATTGAATATCCAAACAACTTCTAATAGAAAAATATAATGGATTTTTTAAAAATATGTTTTGAATGAAAATACGTTTTGCTAAATATATTTTTGATTTTTTGATCAATATCAATATTTGGATTAAAAATATTTTTTTTTTCAAAAATGAAGGGGATATATTTTTTAAGAAATTGAGTTGATTTCGAATTTTCTTAAAATATTTTTGTTGTTGCAAAATGGTCAGGCTTTATTCCTTTATTTTTTTAAAAAAACAACATTTGTTTATTAGTGGAGAACGATGGTAATGTTTATCAGGGGGTAAGGCAGGAAATACCTAGATTTCGGAAAGAGCCACCAATCCTCATCAGTTCCCTTGTTTTTTGTCTGGGATATTCTCCCCAGAACTTATTTTAAAAATAACTTCTATGACAAAAAACAAGTGACGTGATAATATTATAATATTTTTTAAGATCGTAGATAGATCGCATATCGTAGATTTTTAAAAACTTTTATTTTATTGTCTAGCAGATCGTGGATTCTTTGGAATATATCTTCCAAAAAAAATAGAATGTTGTAATTTCTATAGCTATTTTCATCGGACTCTTGAATATAGTGCTCAGTCAAACGAAAATAGCTATAGACATTATTCTTGAACAATTGACAACTCTCTAATTTCTGAAAAATATATTTCCAAAAGTCCACGATCCGCTAGACCTTAAAAATCTCTCACATTATTTTATGCAAAGACTTAAAATCAGACAAAATGGTATACATACAGAGTAAGATAAAAAAACTGCAACAAAGTCAAACGCCATAATTTTTACATTTTTTAAATGTTATTGAAAGAAAGCAAAAATGTCGGAAATAGCATCAAATTTTAGACTAAGTTTAGATTTATTCGAATTGGTCACCTTTGGTACGAATTATGGCTTTCAAACGGCCAATGAAACCGTCACACGCTGTCGGAATATTGCTCTGCGGTATTTTGGCCCATTTCCGGCGAAGCGCTTGCTTGAGGTGTTCGAAACTTTTGTATTTCTTAATGCCAATCTTGCTTGCCAAAATACTCCAGACACAATAGTCCAACGGATTGGTATCCGGAGATTTTGGTGGCCATTGTGCGCTGGGAATGAAGCGAGGAACCTCATTTTATTAATCATTTTTGGGTGGCGCGTGCTGAGAGCGAAGGAGCTGAATCCTGTTAGAATATCCAAGATCTGTGGTCAAAACGTTTGCGTGCCCATTGCTTTAATACACCCTCCAGAATATATTCGTGATAATATTCGGCATCTATTCTGATGCCACGGTCGATTAATACGAGCGGAGAGCGACCATCGGCTGTTATGGCGGCGGCATCACCATGGCCGGCGCTTGAGTTTTGGTGGCCAACCGAAGGTGCACATTTTCAGCTGACCTCTTTGGCAACTAAACACGATCATTTTGTTTGTTAACAAACTGCTGGACAATGAATGTTTTCTCATCGGAGAAAACCAAATTCGCCAGTTCACCACTTTCGGCCAAGCGAAGCAACTCTTTAGCTCTTTTGAGTCTATTTTCTTTCTGTTGCGGTGTAAGTTCTTGCACTTTTTGGATTTTCAATGGCTTTACCTCGAGTTCATTTTTACAATATTTTACGAATGGAATATTGCGATATTTTCAGCTTTATAAAGAAATCACACTATCACGCTTAAATTCCATGACGAATAACTTTTTTTTCTGGAAAATTCTCACGCTTATGCTTTTGTACGCTTGTAAAGAATATAATGAGCTGTCACTGGAATAATTTTAACAGCTGTCGGACGAGTGGCTTGGAAATGACAGCAGTATAAAGTTGGTTGCAGTTTTTTCATCTCAATCTGTAGGTCACACTAAGGTTTATGTCAGTACTACATGATTTTAATAGTCTTAGTCAACCCAATTAGCTGTAATTTGATTCGGTGTATGTTATTATTACAAAGCACAAAACACATTAGTGATTTCAAAAAGCCAATATTTTATACCGGAAAGTGATGGAAAGCTCCTTAAAAATCTATATCCATAATAAATTTTAACATTTTCAGTCAGTTTGGATTTTAAAAAATTAGCTTTTTTGATTTTTTTAATCAACGATTTTCGAAAATTTTTTCAAAATTTTCTGGTCAGAAGGCCCTTGAAGAAGCCGCATTATTGTCCATGAAAAAAATTTTTGGATTTTTTTAATCCAGTATTATTCTGGAGCAACTTAATTTTTTTCTAAACATTTGCAAGTCATTTTCTTGGAAATTTTTGATTTTTGGTCAAAAAGCCCTTGAACAAAAAAAAAAAACAGTGCATATTTGTTGGTCGTTGAAACAGGTCTCTGTGGAAATCAGCTGTCTTTTATCAGGAGATGTTTAAAACATTTTCTAAAAAAGGATCTTGCGCTTTTTGTCAACAGGATATCCTTCAACATTTTTTTAATCACAATTTTTGATCAGAAAGTAGTTCCTGAAAAATTGGTAAGAAGATTCTTGAAAAAAAAACTCAATAAATACAAAATTTATCGGACAGAAGGTACTTAAAAATATTTTGAAAACAATCCACGATTTAAAAAAATGTTATTGAAAATCTACGAGTCTTGAACTGAGGGTTTTTGTAAAAGGGTCCTAAATAATTCACGATTTTTGGTCAACGGGACCTCAAAAAGTATTCCTATAAAAATTTGTGAATTTTGGTCAAGGGGTTCTTAAGAGATTTTTTTTTGTCAGATATCCCTAGATACCATTAATAATCCACAATTCCCTTAAAAAAATTCTTAAAAATTATATTCTATTTTTGGTAAGAAGGTCCTTAAAAATATTGTAAAATTTCCGGATTTTTTATCACGAAGAACTTCAAAAAAAAATATTTCAAAGAATATCTATGCATTTTGTCAGGAAGTTTTTGGTGTGAATTTCTGTTCGGAGGCTTAATTGGGTCACTTTCTTCGAATCAAATGATCAAAGAGTGGCATTATTAGACCATATTTTTGGAATGGCATATTGGACCATTGCATAGAGGGGACTATGATCGCTTCCTCATGGGGAGTATTGCCGTTTGCTGTAGGGACTACTTACAAAAAATATTAAATGTAGTACAATTAGGTTCGCTTTAGCTGCTGAGGTACACACCCAGTGGAGAAAATCTCAAACCCCAGCTTCTTACAAAATGAAAAACATTTAGAAAACTTTGTTTCGCGATAGCCGGTGGCGGACATACCCAGAGAAGAAAATCTTTATTATTTTGCACACCGTTATGATGGGAATTATTTCCACTACTTTCTGACAAAAAGAAAGAAATGGTCATAATCCCAAAAATTGTAATGGGGATTATGTCCGTGGGATTATGATACGTCAACGTTTTTGTGTACAAGAATGTACGATGAGGATTTCGTCTTAGAAGACATGGAGTCTGAAGCCAAATTTTTGGGGCATCAAATGATATATTAAATATTCATCCTCCTCCCTACGATACCTTCTCACATTCTGTATTTCGATGGTTTGAACTCTAATTTTCGGCGGCATTTAATGTAACTTGATAAGAAATTTGAATGACTTTTTAGAGCATTTTTCAAGTAGTCGTCTCAAAATATTTATTTCCTGAGTTTTAGAACAATTTTTGGTACTGTTTTTAGAATAATCCTATGGGTCCATAGTTTTCAATAATTGTAAGTTTGTGATATTTTCAAAAAAAAAAAAATAATTCAATACCAACATACTTCAAATTCTTTAATAACTGTTTCTGTATGACATAATTTGGGGATTTATTTATTTTATTTCATTTAATTTATTTTATTTTTATTTTAATTTTTTTTTTTTTTGGTATATGAATACATGAATTTTTTAGTAATTTTTTATTTTTTTCTTATGTTTTTTAATAATTTTTCTGAACTTTTGTTTACAACTTTTTCTTAATTGGACCATCTAAATATCTCCTCACTTCTCTAATTAAAAGATACATTCCAAGAAATACTAACTAGAAAAAATCACAAAACAATTAAAATGCATTTTTTTATCGCTGCACTCAATTAATAAGAAATGCTTTGTTTCTTTTCGGACATAAAAATGAGTTTTTATTTCAAAACAGTCAGACAATAATAATGTCATTTTCAATAAAACAAAAGTTAGGCGTTCACACGAATAACACAAAATCCCCTTAGCCCATATTATGAGACAATTTCCCAATGGAACTTTTAATCGACCAAACCCAAAAAAAGAGTAAATCGAAGTTGTGGACATTTGACGCCATTTATCTAATAACGCAGAGCAAATATCGGCCATAAAGACAAACGTGAAATAAACTAAAGAAGTCATAAACCACACTTCACAACAATTGATTTAAATTATGAATTATGAGTTTTCAATTGACCAAATCACATTGCAAAAATTTCCTGTTTCTCATAATAATTGTTCGGGTTTTTTATTTTCTTCTCTTGGTTTCTTTCCAGGCGGGCAGCTAAAAACAAAAAATGGCCAAAAATATGTCTTCAATGGCCGGCCATCGGGTATATTTGTATCGAAAATGTGTGCCGTCTGTTCGTTCATCATCGCCTTGCTGATACTCATCTTTAGTGTGGCCATTACATATTTCATAACAGCCAACACAATGACAACGGGGTAAGTTTGAAATGGGTTTGATTTTAAAATTAAATTTGTATTTTGTAAGGATTTTTTTTAAGGAGTATCAGGATGGATGTAAGTTTTTATTTTTTAAAGATTATTAGGTAGAAAATTTCAATAATTTTTAACTCTTAAAATAATTTTTTTTCAAGGTATGTTTGGTCCTGATCTTTTCAAATTATAACCAGTAAAGAAAGGCAAAATTCGGGCGGGGCGGACCTTATGATACCCTACATCACTTTAGATATATAATATAACAAATAAGTTTTTTTATAGGAAATTTATGAGAATTAAGACATACCAACTATGATCGTTAAATCAGTTATAATTCAAAACCCGAAGGAACTTATATATGGCGGGCAGCTACCGTATTCTACAAAACTTGACGTAGGCTTTTGTGTCTGAACCAGTATTCATACAAGTTCCATCCTATTTCAGCTGATATTTCACTTTTTGGGCACAATAAACCAGAAATCAGATGAAGATACATATGGGGGATATACCCAAATCTGAAACGATCTCTATAAAATTTAGCAGAGGTATTTCTTGGCTGTATCTGATGGTTGGAACCAAATAACGTTGTCGTGGAGAGTATTTTCCGACTCAGAATGAGATTCTATGGTGATCACAAGGAACTATGGGTCTATCTCTCTTCCTTCTCTATGTTACAAACAAATGCACAATGACATAATACCATGCCATAGTGTGGTCGGGTATAAAAAGGCTATTTTTTAGATATGTTTTTTTTCGATTGGTATGATTCTACGGATTGTCACGGCGTAGAATTTTTTCACAATCTTGTTCTCAAGTATTTTCCGTTTATGTGGAAAAGTAAACCCTCCACCATACATAGAATGGAGGGTATATAAAGTTTATCATTCCGTTATCACTCCCCGAAATAATCATTCTAGACCCCACAAAGTATATAAATATTTTCCGTCCATCACTCTAGCGTCCACGAAATATAGGTCCACTTTTCAGATATAACTAATCCACCCAATGATCGGTGTTTGAATAATTTTCGCAATATTTTCCATCGGAAATATTTAAAATTTTGCAAGATTCTTCCAAATGGTGGAGTTTTTATACCCTAGTATGGATGGTATATTAAGTTCGTCATTTCGTTTGTAACTCATCGAAATAAGCTTTTAGATATAACAATGTATATATATTCTTGATCACCGTAAATTTCCAAGACTGTCCGTCCGTCCGTCCGTAGCCCCCGTATAATGGTACCCCCCGATATTCGGTATTTTGATGATTGTAGCCACATTTTTCAACGGAACTGTCTGAAAACTCCACAAGGAGAACCTTGTGAGTACAGTATCACATGCAAGGGAATTACCTATATAGGTCGACGATATCGTATAGCTCCCATATAAAGTTACCCCCGATATTCGGTATTTTGATGATATTGCCCACATTTTTCAATAAAATTGTCTGAAATTGTACACAAGCAGTTCTACATGAGTACTTTACACCCTGACAGAGAAAAATTCTACTTAGGTCCACGATATCGTATAGCCCCATATAACGCTACACCCCCGATATTCGGTATTTTATGATTTAAGCCAAGTCTATCAATGGAATTGTCTTAAAATCCACACAAGGGGTTCCTTCTGAGTACTTTACCCCTTAGAAGAGAATTGTCTAAATAGATCTACGTTATAGTATAGCGCCCATATAACGGTACCCTCAGATATTCGGTATTTTCATGATTCTTGCGATATTATTCAGCGGAATTATTTCAATTTTCGGGTATAAACTTCGGAACCGTTACTTTAGAATACGACACAAATTACTTATGCAGGACCACATTTTCGTATAGGTTTTCATTCGAGCGGAATTTTTCGACATAATTGTTTGGAAATTTTTCAAGTTTCTTCCAAATTGTGGAGGGTATAAAAAGTTCAGCCGGGCCGAACTTAGCTGTTTTTTACTTGCTTTGCTTCTTTTCAATAACACCATGCGACAAAATTTAAAATTTTCAATAGAGTAGAGCCAAAAATGGAGGATTCGTGTATCGGCGTTTCGAAAGTTTACATTGCAAAGTAAACTAAATAGAGTGGGCAAGTTCCCCACTCTTCCCCTCTCCCATAGTTACTTCTGGGGATCTTCGTAAAATCCCTTTCTGACTCGATTGATGCGTGTCAATCCGTCTGTTTGTCCGTCTGTTCTATTGAAATTGGTGAGAATCGGTTCAAATTTATATATAGCTCCCATATATATCTTCAACCGACCTGATAATCTGATTTTTGGCACATCCAACCGAATTCAGTCTAATAGCAACTACTTCAAACTTGCTGAAAATCAGTTCAGATATAGCTATAGCTCCCATAAAAATGTTTCATTCGATTTGGTGTTTTAAGTCCCTCAAATGCGTAATATGCACTACAAAACAATGATCTTTGGTACCTGAAATCAGAAAATACCTTTGCCAAATTTTATCGAGATCGGATCAGATTTGGATATAGCTCCCATACATATGTGTCATTCAATTCGGGGTTTTGAATCCCTCGCATTCGTAATATGGCCTCCAAAACAATGATCTTTGGTAACAGATGTGCCCAAAATTGTATCAAGATCGGTTCAGCTTTGGATATAGCTCCCGTACATATATCTTTATCCGATGTCAGGTTGATTGTGCACATATGGCTAATATCAGCCTAAATAAACCGAATCTTGGCAATTCCGACTGAATTCATCCTAGAACAAGTTCTTAATATTTGGTGAAAGTCGGATCAGATATAGCTGTAGCTCCCATATATATGTTTCATCCGATTTGGGGATTTGAGTCCCTCTCATGCGTAATATGCACCCCACAAGAATCATTTTTGATACCGGTAATCAGATACGGCTCGAAAATGCCTCTGCCAAATTTTATCGATATAACGAGATATCGATATTTTGTAAGATAACTTCGATATACATCTTCATACGATTTTATGCTTATTATCCACCATATAAGTGATATCAGGACCAATTGGATAGATTTTTTTCATATTCAAGTGAATTTTACTACTTGCTGAAACTCGATGCGGTGTATCTATTGCTCATATAAATTTAATATAATTCTTATCGAAGTCATATCATGCTCTCTACAGCAATGTTATTTGATACTAGATGTACAAAAGATTCAAATTTATTGAAAATCAATTCAGAGTTGGATATAGTTCCCAAATTGTGACTATTCTTAAGCCATGATACGCACTCAAATAAGGTTCGTGGTTGGTATGATCTACTTCGCATAAATTTCCAATATAAACTTTATTGTTAAGGGAGCTGTACTAAATACACACAGTGGTGTAGGGTGTCATATAGTTGGCTCCGCCCGACTTTTGACCTTTCCTTATGTTTTTTTTTTTTTGGAACATTGATGAAATTTTTTTCACAGTGTCAGGTTCTTAAGAATTTCAACCATTTTCCGGTCATTGATTTTAAACTATAAATTGGTTCAGGGATTTTTTTTAAATATGGTCTTCTGTAAAAATGGTTAAAGATAATTTTGTCGAATTTTTCAAGTTCATACATTTCTTGATGATAATTTAGTTTGGAAGCATTTTTGTACGGTAATTTCATAAGGCATTTTACCAGGGATTTTATAGACGTGGTCTTTAGAAGAATAAAAGTTTGAAAATTGTCATGATTTGGTTTAAAAAAAATGACATAGTGTTTTAAGAATTTTAGATTAGATTAGATTTTTTTTGTAATATTTTCTATTCTGAATTTTTCAAGGATTTCGAGGTTGTCATGTTTTTAAGATAGTATTCTCAAGGATTCTCTATTCGTCGATTTTTTAAAAATCATTTTTCTAAACATTTAATATTTTTAAATGGCTTTTCGAGAATTTTTAAGTTGGAAGTTATTTAGAAATGTTCAGGTCAGGTGTATTTTTAAAATGTTTTTTTTAATATATATTTTCAAGGAATTCTCGGGTGCAGAATTTTAATAGTTTTTCTCAAAATATGAGGTTTTGATTTTGTAAATACTTATTTTTTAAATTACTATTATTTTTTTAATATTTCTCTTAGCCATTGATTGTTGTCGGAATATTTTATTCCTATTTTTTTTTTCAATTTCATTGATTTCTTAAGTAAATTCCCTCAAAAATTTTTAACTTTGGAATTTTTTCATAATTTTTTCTGTTTCCCTATCAGATCTAAGTTTTTCAAATTATATTTCAATTACTCTTGTTCTCAAATATTTTAATCACTCTCCCTTTCTCTTCCAGCTGCACAAATGGCCATGGTCCCGTGGCCGCTGACAATCACTTAGCCACAGCCAGTATGCTGGGCATGCCATTGCCAAAATCGAAATACAACAACGATGAGGTGGCGCCTGTCGGTGACATACCGCCGGACAATGACATATTCGGCGAGGCGAAAGACAAGTTCCCGGATCGTCAACTGCAATTGTATGACGGCTGGTTACCGCTGCACTACAAGTAAGTAAAATTGCAATAACAATAACAATGAACATTGCTTTTTATTCAGAACTTTCCGTTTGTCATTATCGACTGACTGTTTTGATGTGACAATATTTGTGCGGTTTTTCTAATGGTCTGATTTTATTAACTTCATTCTTTGTAATTGTGAACCGAACAAAACACCAGAGCAAACATTCAAACAAATGTTTCCTGTCACTATTCGCGGAATATTTTGTAGTTTTTATTGCGGCCAAGAATATCTAGGTGATGGTGGTTTTACAATCAAGTTCATGTAACAACGTGTAAAAACAATTTTTTTTTTGTCTGGCAAGAATAAGTCAATTCAACAAACAAATATGTCAGGAATTGAAAATGTAATATTTCATTTTATATTTCACGATTGAAAATAAAAATCTTAAGTAAGGAACATTAATACTCTGTTCCAGTACCTGCAAAAATCTACTAATTTCTTCGATATAATAAAGGGAAAGTTGGTTATCACAGTAAAAACGTTTACATTCTTGCAGTTCTGGAACGGACCATAAATGAAAAAAAGTTGGGAAAAACATTTTTTAATTACCGTTAGATCTGGGATTTTCATATTTTCTATAATAATAGTGAATATTTAATACAATATGTGTACAATTTTTTTGAGGAATATTGACTCTCCACCACCACCAATTACACTGTGCGACTTATTTAAATAGTTACAAGAAAAAACCATTAGTCTATGAGAGTAGAGAAGACACGTGCAACGGCGTTTTTAAAAGCTTACATCCCAAAGTAACCTAAATGAAGAGGGCAAGTCTACCCCTCACCCACATTTTTTGAAAATTTCCCATTAAATTCTGCAATTCAGGATTATTTTTGGAAACAAAATGTGCACCCTCAAGCTAGCCTCCAAAAAGGTATTATTGTGCTTTTTTATACCCTCCACCATTGTAACACCTCGTCATTGCGTTTGTAACACCTCGAAATATACATTTTAGACCCCACAAAGTATATATCAGCATAAAATTCTATGTCGATTTAGCGATGTTCGTCCGTCTGTTGAAATCACTCTAGCTTCCGAACGAATTGAAGTAAGTTGATAAAAATTTACTCAAATGTGTATTATGTCTGCAGGACTTTTGGTATTGAAAATGGGCCATGTAGGTCCAGGTCTTCCTATAGCCCCCCTTTAACGGTACCCCCCGATATGCGGTATTTTGATAATTTTAGCGACATTATTTACCGGAATTGTTTCAAAATTGATATTTGAAATTCGTAATGGATACTATAGCCTAAGACAGAAAATGGGCTCCACATCTTCCTGTAGTCCCCATATATCGGTACCCTCGATATTCGGTATTTTGATGATTGAAGCGACATTATTTACCAGAATTGTTTCAAATTTCGCATTTTCGTAATGGATACTGCAGCCTATGACAGAAAATTGTCTGTGCAGGTCCACGTCTTCGTATAGCCCCCATATAACGGTACCTCCCGATATTCGGTATTTTAATGATTTTAACGACATTAATCACCGGAATTCTTTTCAAATTTGGTATTTGAAGTTCGAAATGGATATTACAGCCTACGACAGAAAATTATCTGTGCAGGTCCACGTCTTCGTATAGCCCCCATATAACTGTTCTTCCGATATTCGGTATTCTGATGATTTTAGCGACAATAATCATTGGAATTGTCTCAAATTTGGTATTTGAAGTTCGAAATGGGTGCTACAGCCTATGACAGAAAATTGTATGTGCAGGTCCACGTCTTCGTATAGCCGCAATATAACGATACATCCCGATATTCGTTATTTTGACGATTTTAGCGACATTATTTTCCCGATTTGTTCCAAATTTGGTATTTGAAGTTCGTAACCCCCCCGATATTCGAAATTTTTTGATTTTAGAGACAAAATTTTAAGTTTTTAGTGGATATTGTTGGAATTGTTTCAAATTTGGTTTTTGAACTTCGCAATGGGTACTACAGCCTATGACAGATAATTGCCTGTTCAGATCCACGTTTTGGTATGGCCCCCATATAATATTTATTTTATGCGGTATATTGGTGATTTTAGCGATATTATTAACCGATTTTTTTCAAGTTTCGAATTTGAATCTTATAATGGATTATGACAAAATTTGACTATAGCCCATACGTCCCCCACGTAATCGTATGAGCCCTAATGTAACTGTTACATTACGTATTTTTAAGATTTTAACAGAATTTTTTAACGTTTTTTTTTTTTTTTTGATAATTACCAGATTCGTTCCAAATGGTGGAGGGTATTCAAAGTTCGACCCGAACGAACTTACAGCTTTATTATTTGTTTTTGAAAATTTCGACTTTTTGTGGGGGAGGTACCTGAAGGAGTGAACCAATATTGCCCATCTCCGAACTCGATCTAAGTTTGATAATAATATTATGATGTACCAGGTTTCTTATTGTGCGCACCAGCCAGCCAGACAGACTGACGGACATCGCTAGATCGACTCCAAATGTCCGGAAACGGATTTGGTCAAAGGAGACGATGAGGCACGAAGCAATATGACTGAGGGTATAAAAACCAAGAACACCCCTTTGGTGACCTGCTTGAAAGTTAAAATTTTGGAGCAAAATAATCCTCACATTCTTTTTTATAAAATTGCCAAAGACACAATATACCTAAAAATTAAGTATTCACAGGAATTCTAGTCGGAAATTTTCAAAAAATGTAGAAAAAGGATAATTACTCCGCAATTTTTAAGTTACTTTGCCATATAAACTATCAAAATGCCTACACAAATGTCTTCCATTTTTAGCTCTACTACTAAATTTTGAATCGTTTAAATAGATATTTTTGAATATTTTGTAAGTTCAATTTTTTGACCCTTCTCAATATTTTCAATGATTTTGTGAAAAATCTTTTTTCTAGGCTCTATTTTATTTTTTTCTAAAATAACATCTGAACAAAAATATTATTTTGTAAAAATTTCCCATTTGGAAACACTCATAATTTACACAAGTTAATTAGCGAATTACAATGTTTCTTGATTGTCACACAAAAGCTGCAGAAGCAGCATTAAACGCAAAGCCTTGTTGCACCTTTGCCTAGAGTCGCACAAAAAACAAAAATGTTTCAACAACTTATCCCCACTTAACTGGCAAAGCGAGAGCCAGCGAGGGTGTTACAACAACGGCAACCACAAATTATTGCTTTCAATGGATTCATTGGCATGTATTTTTGCCCGTCTCAAGATGTTGCCGCCGATGTTAGGAGGCATTTCGAAAAGACGAAAAGAAGAAGTTAACATGACGCCACCGTCAGTCAGCTAACCAGCCTAGCTGCTGACACACATTATTGGCAGCATGCCACAGCTGTTTTAAGCTGTGAATGAATGCCGTTGCATTTAGAAGCTGGCGAACAACAGGCTTTTTGGTGTAAGGCGGCGCTAATAAAACGTTTTGTGCGCTAAATTTGTTTCTTTCAAAAACAAAAAAAAATGTGCGTGTTTTTACATTAGTTCGGAATGTATGGGTGGCACTTTCCGACAAAAGGTCTTCATTCTAATAATACAAATGGAAAATCGACACATACGCCCCCACAAATTCTTGTCATGTGTGGCTAAAACAGTGGTGAGGAAAGGTCATAACAATATATGTTACGACTTTTCAAAAAAAATTCGGTAAAAAAAAGTAAAACAAAACAGTAAGTTCGGCCAGGCCGAAGTTTTAATAACCTCCACCATTTGGAAAGAATTTTGCAATTTTCAAAAAAAAAAATTAAATCCGTTAAAAATTCAGTTAAAATCCTAAAATTAGAAAATTTAGCCGTTATATTAGGGTCTATACGACGACGTGGAACTGCATAGACAACTATTGTCATAAGCCATTACCAATATTCAAATGCGAAATCGGTGAATAATGTAGCCAAAATCATCAAAATACCGAATATAGAGAGGTACTATTACATGTGGCCTATACCAAATAGTGGACCTGCACAGACAATTTTCTGTCTTAGGCTTTAATATCCATTACGAACCGGTGAATAATGTCGCTAAAATCATCAAAATACCGAAAATAAAAGAGTTACCATTATAAATTTTTCCACCTACTTCATTTCGTTCGGAAGGTAGAGTAATTTCTATAGGTGGACGACGGACGGACATCGCTTAATCGACATATAATTTAATACTGATCCTTATATATATGTTTTGTGGGATCTAAAAGTGTTACAAATGGAATGACAAACTTAATATACCCTCCATACTAGGGTGGAGGGCATAAAAATTACGAGACTTATCAGTAGTGGAAAGAAAACAAAATTCCCAAAATTATAAATCAAATAATCTGAATCTGAAAATTTTAAACGAGGATCAGTGTTGGTGCGTAAGCTTGGGTTATTCTGAAATTTTGAATCCAAGTCACTATCGGTGACCATATAAAATATAAATATGATTATTATCAAACTTTGATCGAGTTCGGAGATTGGAAATATCGGACCACTTCTTATGGTACCTCCCCCCACAAAAGGTCGAACTTTTCAAAGAAAATATTTTACTGCACAAAAAGAGAATAGATACTTCGATTTTGCTCCAACATTGCAAATCCTAATATTTACATCAGTGCTAGGTCAGGTGCGAAAATGGACAATAACGGCCCACTCCATCGAGTATCTCCCCCACAAACATCCGATTCCATTCAGACTTGGTACATCTCAATATTTCTATCAACGCAAGATCTGTTATAAATATGGTTGAGTAGTCCGATCCTTCTGGTACCTCCTCCACAAAGGGTCAATGTTTTGAATGACCAAAACAATTATAAAATCCGAAATAAGCATACGGTTATAAGATCTGCAGTGAAAATGGAATATATTGGTCTACTCCTTCTGGTACCTCCCCCACAAAGGGTTAACATTTTAAATATGCATGAAGCTCATAAAACGTGATATTAACATCCGATTCAAACTTGGTACATCCCAATATTTCTATCAACACAAGAGCTGTTATAAAGATGATAGAGTCCGGACCATTTCTTCTGGTACC